TTGATCGCTTGCTCGCCTGCGTTAAGCGAAATATATCGTTCGTCCTGCAATGCATTAATCAATTATTAATTTTTTTTTTCCTTTCTGACGACTGAACATGTGAACATCGCATACAATGAATGATGTACCAAAAACACATCCGCTGCACATTCTCAGCTGCTCTGCCAGCTCCGACTGGTCGCTAAACATCATATAATTAGCATCATTTTGAAATATTATCAAGAAAAAGTATGAAAAAAAAAGCAGAAATATTAATAATTCAGCCGATTTTCATGGACGCATTTGACAAAGTTGAAGAAAAAAAAACGAACAAAAAAAATGTTCGCACCAGAGAAAATCAAATTACAAGATGTTGATAAAAAAAAGAGCTTTGTTTACTTGAGCTGTGCCCAGCTAAAGCCCTCATGCTTAATTCAGAATCCGTAATTTCGAATCGAAAAAAAAAATGTTTAAGAAAAATATGAGTGAAAAAAAAGCCCGTGATTCAAATCACTGCCGGATTAAAATCACTTTGAAACTCCGCCAATATACGTGTATGTCTTGCGGTCGGTTGTTTATTTTCTGCGCTGTCCACATTGAAGCGCGTGTAATTCATGATTTCATCCGTCTCTGTCTGCCATGGTTTTTGGTAAAATTCCAAATGTGAATTCAGGTTTTATTTTGTGTAAAAATTCTGTTCGTGTCTGAGAATATTTGAATTGAATTTCTAAAATTTCAATTTCCATCCAATCCGAGTGTGGCAGTTCTACTTTGAGTTCTGACTTTTGTGAACGCCGCACCAAAATTAAACAACATAGTAGAATTCCCTTATCAGTTTCGTTGAACGAACGCAAAACGTAATTTGTGTCCGCTTTGACCAAATAAATTTTGTTTACGGAACCGAAATGAAAACAAACTACATGGCAATGTTAACAATGTTAGAACTTGTTGCTTAATCCTTGTCCATTCACAGAAATTCGCATATTATTTTTGGCAAGCGAAAAAAAAGGTACGCACATATTACGACGAGATATTGGATTTTGCATTGACTTTGACGTCATTCAGATTTGTGTTTTATTTTTAAAAATCCAAACAGAACTGGACAGTAAACATGGCTGGCGCGCGCGCGCTCATGGAGAGTGCGAGAAAGAAAAGTACGTGCCAATCCATATAAAGGATTTATTTTTTTTAATGGAACATGTCAAAAAAGAGTAAACAAGCGGCATTTTTTTTCGTTGTTGTCACTGGTTGAGAGAGAAAAAGAGAGTCGCTGTGCATAAAAGAGAGACAAAGAAAAAATAGGTGCAAATGTGCGTGGTCGCCCACTTCTCAGCGAATTCCAACGAAACAAATTATTTTCAATTCAAGCAATCGATGAATATCATTTCGATTCACTCATAAAAAAAACGAGACTTTTATTGAATTTATATATTGTATCGCCAAGTTGCGACTCTGTTTCTCTCTCTTCATGTTGTTAAACATCCATTTTGCATTCTCAAGGCACACATGTCATTTTGGGTTTGAAACTGCATAAATTGTGTAGAAAATAAAGAGAAGCAGAGAGAGAGAGAGAGAGATAACACGAACTATAAATGAAGAAACGAGCAAGTAAATTGCATGGCACAGGTTCCTTCAAGGCATTACGTCATTCAAATAAATGAGAGAATAATGTAAGTAAATAAATCAAAGCCCATCGTCAACAGTTCATGACTTGGACTCTGATTTTTTCTTTCATTTCTCTCTCATTCCATTTGCATGCAATGTCGAGAACAAAGCGCAACAGGGTAAGCAGCAATAATATATTTATGTATATATATTAAAAAATAGCACATTTAAATGGGATGACTAATCGTCATTTCAAAGAAAATCGAGTGAAGAATGAAGGAAACAAATGCAACAGCGTTAATTTTTTCCTTCACTCTCTCTCTCTTTCCCTCATGTTTACCTTTTCGGTAATCATCGACACCATCGGGTTGTTTGTCGATTGTGTGTGTGTGTTGCATTTACAGTTTTCTTTTTCATCGCGGCCCAAGAGAAAATATACAATATCATCTGCGATATATAGAACTTGTGCAATGTGTGCAGTGTGTGCAGTGTGCAGTGTGTAGACAAAAGCCAATTCTGAAATATGAAACGATTGTGCCACTTGCCTTGTTTAAGTTTCAGCTCTTTTTTTTCTTCTGTTTTGGCGGCAACGCGCGTTACTTGTATTATACCTATGAAATGTGTTGAATTCGTTCCGCAAATCTGTTGAATTGATGATTGTGCTCAGGCAATGACATCAGTTCACAAAATGAAACACAAAAGAAGAAGAAAAAAAAATGTGGTTCATTTCGACAGTTTCCTATTTTAATCGATTCGTAACACCACGGGATCCTGTGTGTGTACAACTCATTTTCTTTTCTTTCTTCGTTTCGTTATTTATTAATTAAAGCAGTCACAATAAAAATAGCAATTAAACAGAGGCAACGGCAAAAACAATAAGAAATGCGCGATGCTGTTTGTTCGTGATTTTGCGATAATGAACTTCACTTCGATCTCGCAGAATGGTCGTTTTTTTTTGCTTCGCACACAACAACAGCAACAGTAAAATCGTGTGTGTTTCGTGGGCAGTCGTCATTATTGCTTATCCCAAGGAAGATATTGACCGTATAGCCAATCGTACCACAGTGAAATGACCGAACTATTACGGTGTCTCGCAACGATAATCAACATTTTTGGAAGAAGTGAATAATATCAAAAGTCATTTGGGCTGGCTCGAACAACAAAAGACGTAATATGAACAAAACAATCAATGACTCAAAAGTTCAAAAAAAGAAAAGAAAAACATTCGACTCGAAAAGTCACTGTTCAAAAAATCCAATTGAAAAAAGACTTTTGTGAAATGAACGATTAAATTATTGCGCCTATAATAATTTTCGTTTTGAATTTTTTGTTTTCGAGAAGAAAAGAAAGAATTTCCTCATGGCACCAGCAGTTAAGAAAGAATGTTCACCCTTCTGTTCCTTTGTCAAATGCACGCGGCATTCTATCGTTTAATTTCTACCAAAGTAAAATGACATCAGTAGAACGTAGTCATTTGCAAATGTTCAGGGAGAATTTGGCTGTTGTTAGCAGAATTTCCACGAGTTTATTGTCGTAAATTCCATCAATTTTTTTTTTTAATCTAACGGCTGCCTTCAAAGCAGATTAGCAAATCGAATTGGAAGATGTATAAATTTATTTGTAACTGTTTTTTTGCCGGCGCACGATCGCGATTGTGAGAGAGAGAGAGAGATAGAGATATAGAGAGAGAGTGAGAAAACCGATCCACTTTAAAATAATGGCACATAAAAACAACATCTGGCTAAATCATCCGACGCTTGTTTTTCTCTCGCTTCTGTTTGCATTTCATCAAAGCGAGATACCTCATGGCAACTGTTGGTTTAACTGTCTGAAAAACTAATCGCCGCTTCGAAAAAAGACACTGTGATATTTCATTCAAAGTGTATGGCATGAAATGCTTAGGCCGTTGGTTTTTTTTTTATTACGGCACCGGCGCCAATCTCAGCGAAATGCAAATTCCATCGATAAAGTATCGGTCAGAACGGGGTTTTCTGTGCGCGAAAAAAAACCCACAATGATTTTATGACACAAACAATTGATACGGAAAGAAAAGAAGCAACAACAATGGCATAAAATAAAAGACAGAAAAAAAACAAACTTGCGCAAACGTGATTTTTTCACGCGCATTTACAATTGACTTACAGAACATTTCATACACGCACTGGAAACACTTGTTCAAACATTATAAAATACTATACACAGCTGACTGTGATGCAGACGTGCTCTCTCTCTCTCTCTCTCTCTCTCTCTCTCTCTCTTTCTCTCTCTCTCTCCATTTAACAATTAAAACGTGTAATATCGAGTCAAAGTCAAGGATTGTGTTCCCGCACAGTCGAATTGTGTACCTCAACGCAGCATGTCATTTGCTTCGGTGACTGCACCAATCGGCCACTAATTGAGTGAGTGCTTGACAGTAAACGATGTTTTCGTTGATTATTTCATTCGAATGTAAGGCATTATTCAAATTTAATGAGAAACAACAACACCATTAAGATGATACTGTGATTGTTTGCGGCAATAAATGAGTTTTAAATATTACTCTGCTCAATGACACATTCCAAGTGATTGTATGTGTTGTTGTTTTCTTTATAATTTACTTGCGACCGCACCGCGATAAACGATTAAACGTCAATTACTCATTGTGCGTGTTGTTACAATTTGGCTGCTCTTACTTTTTATGTAAGGCACATTCATTCATTTTCAGTTTGTGCTTTTTTTATCGTTTCGCAGAAATTACAAGTGTTTTTCCTTTTAAAGTAGAAAAAAACACAGAATTCTATGATCGAGACTTTCTCAATTTGAAAAAAAGAGACAGCATTTGGCATGTACATGATTCGTTTCGCGCTCCCGGCTCACATCAAGTGTCTATCAATCGAATGACTCAACTGATGAAGTGTGGTGTGCAATGTGAAATGTTGGCAAATCAACAACGTACGGCTATCAAACTGTGAATAAGTTTGCGATAATAATTTGATCTAATTGCTCCTTTCTTCTTCTAATTCAGCTGGAGTTCGTGTTTGTGCATACATGTTGTGTGTGTGTGTGTGTGTGTGCGGTGTATGTCGTTGGCTATTGGCGGCTATGCTGTCGTTTTTATTTCACCGCCCGCCATTCACGATGTACAACATTCGTTAGTTATTACGTCGTTATTGCATACCTGAAGGAGATGCCGGTAGCCAAACGGCATCACAGTTGATCACACATTTATCTGTCTTGAACCATAATAATCGCTTAGACATTATACATTTTGCTTGTATCTCTCGGTGTGCTTGTTTCAAATTGGCGAATAGAAGAGCAAGACAAGAAAAAAACATACAAAATTCCAAATCGATTTCATTTCATGATGAACACATTTGAAGTAGAAAAAAAAATGAAACTAAAAACCGCTTTCTTTCTCGATAATTTTTGTTTTGCAGATACATTTACACACACGGTGTTTAGTCATTTTCAACAGCCGAGCAACAACACACGGACGCTTGTGTGTACCACAAATTTGATTGGAAATTGTGTGCTTGATTCGTTTATTGTTCGTGAGCGTGTTTGACCGAGCTTTTTACACCAAATAAATATAGATTGCCGCAGCAGAAAGACCATTTCTCGCGCTGAATTGATGAATGTAAGTGTTATGGCTTAGTACTTACATACTCTTTGACATTTACAAGACGAAACGAAATAAACAATAAAATAGAAATCATTTTGGCGAAACGTGGCGATTGAGAGAAAGAGAGAGAGAGAGAGAGAGAGAGAGAGCCACAGAAACCAAGATAGATGGATAGCAAGAAACAACGAGAGAAGAAAAAAAAATAGTGGCAATTTCAACATGTAAACGGCAGCACGCATACGGGGCAATCGATAACATGGCTACGATCTGACTAATGTGTACGTGAACAAATTTTTGCCGCCGATGAGAGATATTTGGCTGTAGAGCAATGTCGGAATCGTATCAGCCGCAGCACTGAGCACATGGCTCATTTAGCGCATGCCGCATTACCGTCGCCGCCGCCGCTGCTGCTGCTGCTTGCTGCTGCACAAATACAGAGAGAAAAATAATGATCGTTGTTACTGGCTCTCAATTTTAGAAATTTTTCCAACGCTGATGGCAATCCACAAAGCCACCATAAAACATATGAGTCGGTCGAGATCTCCTCGGAGACTATTCATTACATACTATCAAACCACCGAACGCTAATTGTGTGCCCCGGCACAAAATGTACGCGATTTCACTGGGTCCCGTGCAATTATATCAATATAATTGCAATTTAAGACGAACGTATTATTTATGCCGTTATGACGAAAGTGTTTACAGCGAAAGATCTACTTAAGTTCGGTTGTAGATGTTGACTTCTCTGTGTGTGTGTGTGTGTGTATGTCTGTTGTTTGTTTCATTTGTTCAAAGGTATTTCACTGCATGCCATTTTGACGTCATTAGAAAATCTGCAGCCACTTAGATGGAATTGAGAGGCGAAAGCAAAGCACAAAACAAAAAACCCCGAGTAGAATGGAATGTGAAATGAAACCGTCCTTCATATTTACGCCCGATTACAAGATCGATTTTTTTATAATGCACAATCGAACGAATTAGCCAAGCATCTATGGCAACCACTTTCATAGATATGATTTTTTTTTTCTTTTCTGCTTCTACTTGCTGCTGCTGACGATGCCGCTACTTTTTGACTCTCAGGTCGACTTCTGTCGTCTTTGTCTTCACTTATTATGATCAATTCTTTAATGAGAGAATTTCAGTTGATCCAAGGCGCTTCGCATTCTTTGGACTAGCGATCTCACGTCCTGTTCATCGCTCGAAATTCTTTCTTTCATTGATGTTTGATGATGCATCGCAAACCATTCACATTCTTTGTTTCATTAACTCCGACCAAGAAAAAGAGCGAGAGAGAGAGAGAAATCATTGAAATGAAACAATTAAATTCCGTGCTGGCAGCCGTACTCTCGCCCATCACGAGCAACAACAACGGCAACGAATGGTAACTCATCACAAGACTTGTATGTGCTTATTCCATCCATTTCACGTGCATAACGAGAAAACAATAAAAAAAAAACGAACAAATTCTTTTTGTGTTTTTTTTTCTCTTGTTCGAATTGACCCGATGCGCGTAATCAATCTCAATCATGCAGCCAAAAAATCTCGTGCCGACTTATTCCGAATGCAATGAAACGCATTTTCATGTGGTTTGTTGGTTGTTTTTTTCTTTCGTTGTTGCTGTTGTTGAATTCTCACTTGGAATTTGGAATGAAATGATGAAACAAAATGCACGGAAGAATTATTTTTGGAAGATGCACATCTCAGAGATGCAGCGATGTGTTAAAAAAAATCGTTTTCGTTTGATATGAAACCAAAAAAATAATAAGAATAAGTAACGAAGAAAAAAAATTGAAAAAGAAGAAGAACACACAGACACAAAATGCGCGCAATAAGCCGGCATTGTGTCCGATGGAATCATATGTGGCTGTTGACTGGATGTTCGTAAATAATTTAGATTCTCTCTCTCTCCCTCTCTCTCTCTCTCTCATTTAACGGAAGGTTCCGTTATTACCATGAATTTGTTTATATTCTTTATTCGTTCCATTCTTTATTGCATCTACCGACCAACCGATGTGCTCGTAAATTATCCAGATTTTCGTTCGTTCGGCCGGTCGTTCGTTGTTCTCTCTCTCTCCCTCTCTCTGTTTCGTTCTTGCACTCTTTGTCTGCCCGTTTGCTTAAATCGAGTAGAAAAAAAAATTATTTCAATTTAAGCAAAGCCGATGGGTTTTCTGGTAATGATAAAGTATTTGATGTACCTCGCACTCTGAATTTATAACTGAATGATTTTGGAATTTTAACAATTCCCTGTTTGAACTTTCCGCGTAGCAATCAAGTCATAAAATTCTCTCTTTCTCTCTATCTCGCTCGTTGTGCGTTGCGCTGTTTTTTCTTTCTTTATTCTCATTTGTTGTTGGTGTTAGTTTTACTGTTCCGTCCTTTGTTTATACTAAACAGCGTTACCTGTTCGCCGTCCCAAAATCCATTCTATTGCATCCTCAATTATATTTATTTAGGAGTCTCTTTCTCTCACCGAAGATGAAAAAAAACGTAAAATTTGATTATTTTTTCAACCATGGTTTCGTCAATTTTGTATTCAGTGATTTATTATCTTGGTAATGTGGCATAGTTTAAATGTTCCCATTCTGAGAGCCATATGTGCGCTTTGTGCGTGATTCATGTCAAATTACATGTGGTTTTAACCAACGGTTAAGAATCAGATTTGGCGAATTTATTCCACTTTTATTGTTAGATGCTTATCACATTGAAAGCGCACCGCTTGCGTTCATTCGCTCGTTTATTGGTACGCATGAGTAAAAGTGTCACTCATTATAACCGAAGAAAGTAGCAATGTGACAGTTGTAGAAAGAAAAATGAGGCACGACTTTTGAAGCGAAGCAGTAGCACCACTACTACCAACATTACGACAAGATCTATTCATGCCGCATTTCGGAAAATCGAAAAAGTAACTTTTTCTAGCTGTGCTCACGCACAATGCGAACAACAATAAAAAAAAACTAAAATCATGTGAATAAATAATACATGTAATTAAAAGAGTGGCAGCACTTGCAATTACAGCCAAAGAAAGAGTTTGTACAGTTTTGCTCGTCAAATGTGTCATGTATTGTCATTTTGCCTATGTCATTTAATTAGTTCGAACGATAAAAGTGTGACTTTCTGTTGTTGTTTGTGCGGTGTGCGCGGTGCTCACTTGTGCCGATCGCAATACAATTTCTAGTGAGTTCGTCTACTTTATGCCAAATATGTAATCATTTCATGTGTCGCAATTATGAGGTGCCAAATTTACCACTTTCTCTTTGAATATGTTGTGTATGTTGGCTGTTGTGTGCTTTTTTTTCTCTTCTTTCACTCCAAATGAAAAATCGACATTTTACGCTTTGTGTAATTCCACATTCAAATTTTTTTTTTTTTTAATTAATAATATTGTTTAATTACAATCACTTTTATTCGTCGTTATGCGCCGTGTATGGCGTACAACAAAATGACAAAGAATTCCATTTGGTCTTTAATTATATGAACCAATTGGCACATATGGTGATACAAGGACAAGAACTTTGAAAGAAGAAAAAAACACATATACGCCTCTTGAAAATGCAGACAAGATGATGATAACATAGACCATTTTTGATCGAAAAAAAAAACAGAAATAAAGATCTTTTGTTATTGGAATTGAGTCAATTCAATTGACGTGGCGCTGAATCTTAAATGCGGTTGTTGTTGTCGTTGTCGTCGTCGTCGTCGTTGCACACAAATGCCTGCTAAAAATAACGACGAACCATTGAAAATGAAACAAAGAAGAAGAAGAGAAAAAAAACAACGGAAGTGCACTCGTTCGATTTACTATGGGAATAAATGCAAAATTCGATATACAAAATCCTCACAATGGAGAGGCAAACGATTTAGCCTATTATATCAGAAAGTGAAATACATACAACGTACACATCGGGTAATTGAAATGCATATTATCCAATATTCCGTGTTAAGACCTTACAAACTCTTGATGCCAACAACGATTTTTTCCCATTCAATTGGAAGTCAAGAGAGAGATAGAGAGAGAGAGAGACTCGTGCGCGCGCCGTATTTCCCTGTATCGGCACCATCGTTCAATTTAAAACAGTGCTTATTATTTCGATATGTAATTAAGAAGTAGCGCGCTGATGTATCAAAATGACTGAATCAATCATATGTATTATGTACTGAATAGGCGAAACGAAACAAACGAACAGCCAAAACACAGAAGAAACTGTGCAAACAACACGCAGAAAAACAAAGACAAATTGGTGCGAAAACTCGTCGTCATCATCATCATCATCATCATCATCGTCGTCGTCGTCGTCGTCGTCGTCGCCGGTGATTACGTGAATAGGGTTGCGAGTAGCAATGGGTCAGTGAATCAAATGCAGTTGTGATACCATTACTTGTCATAGAGATAGTTGTAGTAGGGACGCAAATGACATGTCATGCAACTCATTCTCACTTGGAACAGAGTGACGAAGAAAAGACCAAAGAGATTGCGAGAGGAAGAGAGAGAGAGAGAGAGAGAGCGAGGCATGCATGATGCATTGATATAGGAAGCGGAACAATTTGTGTCATTAACATGAAATGTTAAAGAAAGAGAACAAGTTTAATATGCAAATGATGGTCATCCGGCAGCGTGTGTTTGCGCGCGTTTTCACTTCATATGCACATTTCTCAAGATGCGAGAGAGAGAGAGAGAGAGAGAGAGAGAGCAAAGAGATGTGATTGCGGCAACTCGAAACAAGCCGATCATTTGTGGATTTCTGATTGATATGAGAATAACAAAGCGATGTTGATTTTTCATGTTCTCTCTGATTGTTGTCTAATTGGCTTATTAACTCTTCAACGTTCAACGATATGGGTTTTTGGTGAGAATGAAGCCAATTGATCAGAAACCCGGGCTCTGTTGCTTGCACAATCAAACAATGCACTTTTCGAAACGCCGTCGAATGTTCATTGATGTTTTCGATGAAGCTCATTTACTATGATATGTTGATCAACAAACCCAAAACAAATACAGCCGAAGTGAGTCAAAC